TCTTTCTTATCTTTCTTATCTTTCTTATCTTTCCTATTATCTTATCTATCCTATCTATCCTATCTATCCTATCTATCTTATCTTTCTAATCTATCTAATCTATGTAGTCTATCTAATCTATCTAATCTATCTAATCTATGTAGTCTATGTAGTCTATCTAATCTATCTAATCTATGTAGTCTATGTAGTCTATCTAATCTATCTAACCTATCTAATCTATCTATCTATCTAATCTATCTAATCTATCTAATCAATCTAATCTATCTAATCTATCTAATCTATCTAATCTATCTAATCTATCTAATCTATCTAATCCATCTAATCTATCTAATCTATCCAATCTATCTAATCTATCTAATCTATCTAATCTATCTAATCTATCTAATCTGTCTAATCTATCTATCTATCTTACCTATCTATCTATCTTATCTATCAATCTATCAATCTATCTATCTATCTTTCTTATCCTATCTATCTATCTATCTATCTGTCTATCTATCTATCTATCTATCTGTCCAGCTGTCTGTCTATCTGTCTGTCTATCTGTCTGTCTATCTGTCTATCTGTCTATCTGTCTATCTGTCTATCTGTCTACCTGTCGTCTACCTGTGGTGCAGTGTCATTCAGTGTAATGTAGTGTAGTGTAGTGGAGTGTAGTTGTGTAGTGTAATGTAGTGTAGTGGAAGGTAGTGCAGTGTAGTGTGATGTAGTGTAGTGTAGTGTAATGTAGTGTAGTGTAGTGTAATGTAGTGTAGTGGAAGGTAGTGTAGTGTAATGTAGTGTAGTGTAGTGGAGTGTAGTGTAGTGTAATGTAGTGTAATGTAATTGAGTGTAATTGAGTGTAGTGTATTGGAGTGTAGTGTGGTGTAGTGGTGGTTGTAGTTGAAAATGCTACAAAACCCTCACGTTTTGCTCACTTTTGACTCGCGAAGCGACATCTGAACGTCCAAAAGTGCTCCTTACCCCTCAGTTTTTTGCACTTTTGACTTCGAAATGTGCTTCGCGCCACAACGGCGTGCACTTTTTCGACGTCTGAACTTCCAAAAGTGGTCCGAACCCCTGGTGTTTTGTCCATTTTGACTTCGAAATGTGCTTCGCGCCACGACGGCGTGCACTTTTTCGACATCGCAGCGTAACTTCCAAAAGTGGTCCGCACATGGTGTGTTTTGTACTTTTTGACTTAGAAATGTGCTTCGCGCCGCAACGGCGTGCACTTTTTCGACATCGCAACTTCCAAAAGTGGTCCGACCCTGGCGTGTTTTGTCTTCGAAATGTGGTTCGTGCCACAACTGCGTCCACTTTTTCGACATCTCAACTTCCAAAAGTGGTCCGACAATTGTGTGTTTTGTACATTTTGACTTCGAAATGTGCTTCTCGCCACAACGGCGTGCACTTTTTCGACATCTCACCTTCCAAAAGTGGTCTGACAATGGTGTGTTTTGTACATTTTGACTTGGAAACGTGCTTCGCGCCACAACGGTGTGCAATTTTTCATCTCTCATCTGACCAGCTGGCTCCGCACCCGCCGCTTTAGCGAGCCTACTTTTCGACCCTCCGGAGCCACAAATCATTGGAAAAACACAGTGTTTCGCGACTTTCCTACCCTTTCGCGCATCTGCATCTTCTTTCTTCTGACTCTTTCTCTTCTACTCTTCTCTCTTCTAATCTTTCTCTTCTCTCTGCCATGCTCTGCTTTTCATCTGTCCATATTGTCGGAAGTTTGACTTCTAAACTTCCTTCGATTATCATTAAATTACATTAATATCTTTATATATATATACATATATGATGCAGAAATATTATACAATCTATATCAATCTATGATATACATACACACACACATATATATATAATATAAAGTAAAACATATAATTTACACGAGTCGTTACATGTAATATATATATATTGGAAGAACGTGTTTGGTCGCCCCAATGCTTTTGCTGATTAGAATGCACTCAATGTGTATACAGTTGAACACGAACGTTTTTAGAGGGCTTGTGAAACGTGCGCAACTTCTGTGAAACGTGCACAACTGCTGGGAAACGTGGACAGCACAACATCTCTGAAACGTGCACATATAGAATACTTGAAGAGACTGGGTGGGGGCGGTGAAACACGTTGTACCCATATATCATTCACCTATATACATAGTATACCATACCTATATATCATGACATATGTATTCCCCTATATGTTATATATATACACATATATGTATACTATACAAACTATACATACTATACCTATCTATCTCCTATATCATTCCCCTGACGAAAATGGCCCATCCCAAGTTCCCAGAGTTCCCAGGACCTGCGACGACAGGGCCTGATCTGAGGCACCCTTGGGACCGGGACCGGCGCGGGACCGGTGCCACCAAAGTAGTAGTATCTTCATGACAACGTATGGAACAATTATGGCTTTAAAGCAGTGAATTTGAGGATCCATTTTTGGGACAGCCGTGCGGATCCATTTTTGAGGGATTTGATTCACGATGGCACAATTGCTGTGGAACATCCCCAAGCTACAGTGATTTACTCCCTGAAAACTAGGAAGTTTCAGTTTTTTTTTGGGTGTGTGTGTGTGTGTGACACATCTGAAGAGATGAAAAACTTCTGGAATCACGTTCTGTTTTCCTATTTAGATCGCTGGCTTATGGAGTCGTAGATGTTTAGACTACTGGTTTATACCGTTTACCAGCTTTTTAGGGTTGTCCCGCTGATCCTGCGGTCCCTTGCGAAACCTTGTGGAATGCAGCTCTTCGACTGTGCAGCCGTTCCGAACTGCCAGAAACTTCATTTTCTCGCTGCAGCTTCAGTTTTCGTGGTGACATTTGCACAGCAACATGCAAGAGTGAGCAGGTAGGTACATGCCTTCCAGGTGTGGTCTTTTTTGCTTTTTATGGTTTTCTGGTGAAGTTGAACATATCGTGCATCTAATTCGTTGGAGCCCGTACAGCTGTTTTATGCCTTCGGGCACGACTGGACCACGTTCCCGAAGGGGAGTAACGCACGACCTTTAGGCAGTTTGAACTGAGTCCTGGTTGAAGTTTTTCTCATTTTTCGATCTATTTACTTCAATTCGAACTATGTTTCCGTGGCACCATTCGTCGGGATCATGGCCGCCTTCCTCAAGCCCGACACCTACGGCACCGACGTGGCCACCAACGGCACCTCCTACAACGACTCCTCCACATCCATCCGTTGTTTGGTCTACGCCTTCACCGTCAACCACTCCACCAGCAGTACACCATCATCCAGGCTATCAACTTGAACAACCACATTACCCAACCAACCCCACTACTCTGCCGACTTTGTCAACGGGATCTACGGACCACCTTTTTGGACATCCTTCTGCGCTGCAACCATCATGGCCCACCACAACCTCCATGTCGACCACGACCAGCTCGCCTGCACCTACACCACCGACATTCTCGACACCTACCAATCAACCTTCTACGGCACCAACTCCACATCATATTTTCCCAACAGCGCCATCGTCCACTCGATTTGAAGTTCCTATACTTTTCCACCATCACTGCCAACTTTTGTTGCTCATACCGGACCGCCCATCTCCAGACCATTCCAATCCATTCCTACACCAGAGCCAGCCACCCACGGTCTACATTCCACTCCTCATGCTCCACCTTCAACAGCCGCGCCACTTCTTGGTCCAACTGAGTCAACGGCTTCATCGACACCAACACCTATTCCAGTTGTTCCCAAACACACTGCCGTCAAGGCGGCCCCAAGGATTCGCTCTGACAAACGTCCTGACAAGCCTCGTCGTCCCGCCCAACCACCGATCGCTACTCCTCCAGCTGCCGAACATCCTCCAGTTCCACCTACTATTCAACATGATCTGGTCAACTTGGGCACCACTGCAAAGGAGCTGGCTGAATCTGTCCGCCTCATCCAACAACACCAACAACAGCTCATCATCGAGTCTCAACGCCTCAGAATCAACAGCAACAGCTTCGTCAGCCCCCTCCACCGACTACGCCACCTACGTCACCACCATCTACATCTGTCCCTGCAGCCAAAGCCCGACCAACTGAACCTCCTGTACCAGCTCCTATAGTACCACTTCCGCGAAGACTGCACCACCCATTCGAATCCCGTCCAAGTCTCCAACGATTCGTACGCCTATACACAAACCTCGCCGTTCTCGATCTCGCCGACCTTCACATCACCGTCCTCAACGTGTTTCTCCACATCGCCGACCACAATGTCCTCGATCACCACTCCCAAGGCAACGTTCCACTACTCAAAATCCAAAGAGCCGCCGAACACCATCACCATATTGTCGCCGATCCCCGGCCCGTTGTCCCGACCCAGCTCGTCGACACCGCACTCCAGATCCTCCTCGCCGCAGTCGAACTCCTTCTCGAAGTGCCATTGTATTAACCCATGCACCTCGAAGCCTGGATCCTGGGTTTATTACTACACCAGATGCAGATGACACCTGGGGCAACTGGAAGGACAATCAACCTGGAGACCGACGACCTCGCTCTCCACCAGGTCCTCCTCCGAGCATTTCGGCATCTGAACCATTGGGCTCGGTTTCCTTTAGGGTCGCCACTGGGGATAGCGATGAATCAGAACAGGAGGGACACTTCAGCATCGCTACTTACGAACCAGGAGATACCGACATTGAAGAAATGAAAGCAGCAGCGGTTGACCCTGAACGGATCCAATGCGTCACGGAACTTGGCAGCTCCCACGTGGTCTCGATCCGAACGGAGCTGGATAACCCCACCAAGTTATTGTACAACAACTTCATTGACGAGATGTTCAATCAGTTGGCAAAACCCTACATCACGGATGCCGATGAAACTGTTTACATCAAAGCCAGTCGTGCCACAGTCGGCAACATTGCAAAGGCCTGTGCCCAAGCACGACTCTTAGACCTCAACCTAGCAAGAAGAACACGTGGTTTCTTCGTCGAACCGGAATGCTTGCTGACCATCACGGTTCCCACGGGCCTCCCACGGAAGGACATCTACAAAGGAGAACATTCCGGTACTTACATCAGCTACCACAAAACAAGCTGGGAATCAGTTGCCAAAATCTTGGTGGAAAATTGCGTCCGACCGGCAAGTTGGGCAAAAAACGAAGCCGGCATCCCGACGCAATTCCCATGCTACGGATTCTTCGGATATTCCTTTGAGATTGCGGACCCGCAGGACTTGAAGCCGTGGCCCATTCGAGTCTGTACCTCCAACCTCTACAAGATTGGCAAAGGACAAAACCCCTCGGGGATCCTGGCCACGTGCCGGTCACCAAAACTCATCCGTGCCCAATCGTGGGGCAACGATCAAATTCAACGCCTTTGTGCGATCGCAGGCATAGCAAAGGGCAAAGACGGTGCAACGGCTATGAACTCCAAATGCGCATCGGTATCCTACGTGGCTTCTACTCATCCAGTATTCCCACAATTGATCACCAAGGCTCCGATCCCTATACCCGTGGTGCTACACCTTCAGTTGCCGAAGATCCTCCAGAACCTCCGACGGTCGAGCCCACTCCTCCAACTACTGCCGCCACTACCACCGCTGAAACACCCACGGCACCGAACCCAACCTCTCACCATCGAACCCGAGGACCAGATGATCGCAGTGCACATCCAGCTGAATCCAACCGACATGGACATCATCGGGAATCTCACTCATCCTGGAATAGAACTTCTTCTGGGTACCATGGTCGTTCCTCTACTCATCGAGAAGGACGCACTCGTGACCATCACCGTGAAGGATCTACGGGGTACTACTCCTCGAACCGTGATGCTGATCGATCCCGCTGGTGACCTATACATAAGACTTTTTCTCTCTAATCAGGGCTGGCTCCTGTAACCAGGGCTGGCTCCTGTATGGTGCTGTTTCATCACACCACACACACCCATCAATCTTTGAGTCGGCAGTTCATAAGGTGATGGCGTTTCATCACATCAGATAATTAATCTTCAAGGGTCTGCTGCTCAGCCGGCTCTGAAGATTCAGATGCTGGTGCTTCATTTGCTTATAGCCCGCCCGCCACCCACCCATCAATCTTTGAGTCGGCACTCAGTTCGTAAGATGATGGTGGTGTTTCACCGAATCAATCTTCAAGAGTCTGCTGATCAGCCGGCTCTGAAGATGCTGGTGCTTCATTTTGCTTTTCATAGCCCACCCGCCATCACCCATTCTGTGTCAAAATGAATCAATGTCCCAGTGGCCACGTCGTGACAATGGAAGTTACAAAGAACGCTGGAAGGGGTCGGTTCAAAACGGGGTGTGCTTTTTGGTCGCCCCTGGACTGTTCTAAGATAATGCTTCAGCATTTCCCTGTGGTGTTTTTTGTAGTTACTATTCGGCTATCAATGTCCTTAAGAGCTATCAGTTCCGTATTAATGTTTAAGGCTGACACTATGCCGTCCTTAGCCTTTCTGCATGTCTTTTTAATATTGCCTTGGGCGTAACAGGGTTTGAACATAATAATTGGCGGTGAGTAGGTCAACTGATTGTCAACTAGGGATGCGCATTCGATATTTTCAATTTTTAAGCCTGATCTTGTGCGGCAGCTGTCAGCGCTGCGGTCCTGGAGAGACGATGATGATGATGGCCAGCAGCCTTGCAAGATTTTTCGCCCAAAATAGTTTTCTGCCAGCCAATGAAATAGTATTTACTATTTACTATGATTATCGTTTTCATTTCACTTCTGCCAATGAAATAGTATTTACTAATGATTGTCGTTTCATTTCACGGGGTACCTTGTTACTTCGAACTTTGCCTTGACAGCTGCGCTGCGCGATGGCGGCCAGCGGTTCCCTGAACTCGAAGAAACGGAGCATCTCTTTCCTGTCGGATGTGCTTGGGGCTGAGTTTTGAACTCGTGACCGTGCCGATCCAAGGGTTCAATTTGTTTGTTTTCTTGAGGTCAGTTGCAGAAATCCAGCCTGCTGACCGCGACGATGATGCCCAAACCTCAAAAAATTAATCCGGAACCTATCAATTGGTAATTTTCCCGTTGGTTTGGCTGCGCGAAAGGGGTTAAGAAGGGCGACTTTTTTGCGCCCAAAAAGGGTCCCAAAAACAAAGAAAAAAGTCGCCAGTAAAAATCCCAAACCAAAAGGAAAATTACTACTATCAATTTAATATTGATATTGATAGTAGTAATTGATAGTAGTAATTTTCCTTTTGGTTTGGGATTTTTACTGGCGACTTTTTTCTTTGTTTTGGGACCCTTCTTGGGCGCAAAAAAGTCGCCCTCTATTATTTTTTTCAAACATTTAATCAGACAATATTTCCCGAACATCCCAGGTCCGGACCTTCAAGCTGAGCAAGGACCGTCCGTGCCCAG